ATATTCCATAGCGTTAAAACGTTGTTATAAAAAAATCAAGGAGGTGGTGAATTTCATCCCCTTAGAGGGCGCTGGGGAAGTTTAAGGTATGGTTGAAAATAAGGTCTTAACCAGTAGTACATACGTACAAAGTTTCAAATTCTACGGTTTACTTACAGCCGAAATACAAAACAAAATGTAAATTTTTTTCTCAACTTTGATCGCTCATAGCTCGAAAACAAAAGAGTTGCGACCCTATGTTTATATAAAAAATTAGTGTTATTTTGGCAAGTACTACATCCTAGTAAACTTTCCCGATTAAAAACTGAACCACCCTGTATATTCGCTGTCTCAATACTAAATAATTATTTAGAAGACAAAGTGATGATGTTTCATCTTTTCTAAATACTTACATTTTTTTAAAATCTTCATCCTGACTTAGTATTTAATTCACAACTTCATATGTTTTAATTAATTTTGTTATGATAGGTACTTATGATTTGACACAACCTTGAAATGCTAAGTAAATAGGTAAAATGTATTAATGTTTTGACTGCAAGTAGGATTTGCGTTAAAACCCGCATGGAAACATTAAGATGTCGTTTGTGTTACCTTGATGTCGATAACGAGATGTTTATCTCGTTAAGGGAATTATTGCGTTTCATGCATTACTAGAGTAGAATCTGGTTGATGGATTAAGTAAACATCAACAGGCCGAATAATAATTAATACGAGTATAGGTATATTTTTGAATAACTTAGCTAGCGCCACCTATATTCGAGTTCTCAAACTATGTCTGGTAGATACTTATTAAGAATTCAAATTTTTAGGTGAAAAATTGATTTCAAACGAGAAATACGTAATGGAAGAAACAGTCCTAAACGAATACTCATTCCTGATGAATCTGACAATTCGAAGTCTGGAAATGCGAGATTTCGGTGGTTACGTGTGCACTTCTTCGAATGCATTGGGGAAAGCTGAAGGTACAATAAGGCTACAAGGTAATTCGAGAAAACTTTAGCTATAACCTTTTTATAAAATTCTGTAATCTTTTTTTATTTTATTTTAGAGCTACGTTTGCCGGTGAAAACTTCTACAACTACGATTTTACCTAAAGTAATCGACCCGAAGATAAGGAAACCTCTCCATAAGGATAAACCAAAGAAGTACAAACCCCCGCGCAAAGGAAGAAAGGAATCTTACGATGACAAAGATGAAGATGATGATCAAGAAATGACAACGCCATCTGTTTATGAAGTAAAAACATATCAACCACTAACAACGTCGCAGATTGTTACTAGAAAACCGTGGATTATTCATAATAACGATGGAAATCAATTAGAAATTGGTTACCATCTATTGGTGATGGCGATTATGCATCACATTTTTTGTTAGAGACGCAGATCTCTCGACCAAATATGCTTAAATCAAAAAATAAATAAAAAAAGAAAATGACAAAAAAATAAAAAAAGTGTATGTCAAAATTTGAATTGTCTTCCTTAAATAGTATGCAAAGAGGCGTTTAACGAACTATAATTAAGAACTGAATTTTGCATATCACCGTTGTCGTGTCTTCCCCAAAACGAAATCGACTGTTAATCGAACCAATAATTTAATCATTTAATTGAATACCAAAAAAATAAACAGACAATAAGCTCAGTTTTGCGCTCAACGTTTGCGTCGAGTTTTAAAAACACGGACAATACGTCTTCCTTAAAATTTATTTTAACATCGGCCCAAATCATGCAGGGTTTTCCACGATTCATGTTTGAAATGAAATTCAAAAGTTTTTAAACAAAATTAATCATCGTGAAACACCCTGTAATTAAGTTGCATATAAAGGATGCTTAACGATATTTAAAATTTGATTAAAATGTTATAATGAATGTATCGTTGAGCCACCCTGTATATGTATTTTAATCCAAACGATTAATTAAGTTGGCAATAACAATATTAAGTATGATCTAATTTGTTGTCAACCTGGATTTTAAAATTTGTTGCTTTTTTTTTTAAATTTTTGTAAATAATAGGCAATGATATGCATTATGTATATATGTTTGTTGTTAACAAATAAATAAACGAAGAAAATGTAAATATATTAAAAAAAGTATATGAACGTCAGCGTTTCTTTCTCTGTTGGTTATAAATAATATTATAGTTTCTACGAACTTTGAAATGTGTATTTTTGAACCTTTTTATATACATGCTCCATCTACGTAATGGATAAGCGGTCGTATTAAATGATACGATCGCAATAACCATCAAGTAGCCATATCGTGACACAACGGATGTAATGGATAGTACAATTATATTTGATTTAACAAGAACAATATTTGAGTTAGATGGAGTATTTACACATACAGGGTGGAATTAAAAAAACTTTCTTTTTCGAAATATTTTTTGTAAGAGAGGTGAACCGACAATATTAGGAGATACACCCTGAAGATACACAATCAAATATTTATAGCTATAGCTTAGCAAGTGTAGCATATTGAACTGTTTAAAAAAATAATAAAAATACATATAAAAAAATAAAAATACGTATAAAAGATACATGTAAAACAAATAATAAAATACATGTAAAAAAATATCTGTTATTACTATATACAAGTAATAGTTGGTGTAATAATGTGATCGTATTGCGTTATTAAATTTTATTTTGTGCATCAAAATTTCTTTTCAAACCCTCAACAACATTATTAAATTACTGAATCGACTTGTATTACTGACAATAATAAAATCAATAAATCATTTTTATCGGTGAGACTTGAAATCTTTTAATCACCCCCTAAGAACGTAACTAAACTCTAAAATTATCCCCACCTTCATATCACCCCAACTCGCATCGAATTAAATCTTTATCAATTTAAAATTTAAACAGCTCAAATAACATCGCCCTCTTTCGGTTAGTTGCCACAATTCAAGTTTCAAGTAACATCAAGTAATCAGAATTCTATAACATTTCAAGATAAATTTAGAATCTCTTTGCAAGATGGGGATCACCCCCAAACAGAAAGTTAAAATATCAACAAAAAAATCGTAGTATTTAAAGATGAAAGGGTGATTTTTTTTCTAATGGAAAAGTGGGGGAAAGCACTCCACGGTTACTCCATCGAAGCGTATAATTGTCCTTAAGACGAACTTCTGATGCACGCTGCTAGAGGGGTTTTAACCCAGATGGGACAATGGCTGTAAAATTGAAATTAAATGAGGTATAAACACTTGAAATTGATATTTAAAAGAGGCAAGCAAGATAATCCGGGCACCGACTGCAAGGGGGAACGATTTGATTTAAGAAACTGTTTTCCACCCTTAATGAGCATGACCCAGACCAATGGTCCGCAAAATTATTATTTCTCGCCTATTTTATTTAGTAAATTTTTTCCTTAAAAGTCGTTATTGAATAATGAAGTAGCCCTTTTACTTTTCGGGGAACCTCTTTTCGGTCGGAATTTTATCGATTCGCTTGGAAATTCCGAAACTATTTCAACGGATGCCCGGGAATCTCCCCTACGGAGATTAGACGATGCTCGAATCCCGGAAAACTGGACAAGAATGTATAGAGGTTTTGTGTTTTCGAACATGCACGATCCCAGAAAAAAGGAGCTTAACCGAAATAAACAAGAAAAAATTTAATTAATTGCAAGTTACGTGCTGTTGCTTTTTAATTTTTCTCATATTTTTTCCACCAAAAAAATCCTTACGGTATTCGCAGCCCCAAACGGTAACAAGATTCAAAAAAAATCAAAAATGATGAGCTCATTTCAAAATTTGATCGAGAATTCTCAACGGAACACACGCAATGGGAAAACATTTCGCGCCGCGACATCGATTTTACAAATTATCCAAATACGTACCCAGAAGTATCTTAGCAATTTAATTCAGTTAATTGCTTCGTGCCCTAGGTGTAAAGCTAAATCATTATCTTAATTAGCTAAAGTTTCAAACTTTCACAGTTTCCCGCTCCGTTGTTGTTGTGTTTACTCGAAAATATTATTACCTTTGAAATTTAATTTAATTTTCATTTTTATTTTATTATTTAAATACAATATTAATATTTTTTATTAACTAAGTGATTGAACATCAAGGTTCTAATATGCATCCGCAGTTTCCTAAATCATATGAAGATGACAGATTCCACGAAAGAGAAGGTAATGATGTTAGGCACTATTATTATTATTGTAACTTTAGCCCTCCAAAACTTTTGGGCAAATGTAGGTACTTAATGAACCTTAGTATTGCTCCAAGGTCTTGTTCCATTATGTCCGTAAGTGTCAAAAGAGCCGAAAATGTTGTGTCTTATCCGTTTTTGACTCGTCGTTGCAAAGTCGACAAGTTTGATCCTCATCTTGTCCAATGTGGAAGAGGTGGTATTTTATGGGTAAGGAAACCTGAGAGCGTCCTTAGATCGCTTTGCTGAGGCATAAAACTTCTTTGCTTTTGTTTTGAGACGGAGTTATCATACTCTTCGATTGTCTGTGACTTGGAAGTTCTTTCCAGCATAAGCTGTTGGATATAAAACAATTAAAAACACCACTCAAATATAGCTATTAAATTAAAGAACTAATCTTATTGTATTTTTTGCAATAAACTAATAATTGTAGAGCCTCGGCCGCAAGCGACCTCGACTTAATGAGGTTAAATCATATATTCTTCGAGGGAATATATGATATAAATATATTATATAAAACGAAATGTGAGAGTGTGGTTGTGTTAAAATGGGGATTAAAAGTTGGTCGTTTTGGCTTGACAAGAGGAAAGATTAGCACGTAATAGATTTAATAAACGTAGCGAAAACTGGGGGCCGCATGATTTAATACCTGCTATTGGTTATTAAACCTTCTCTTGCAGGCTCTTTGTAGTTTAGAAGTAAATTTAAAGCGGCTGAATTTAAAGTAGGCATTATGATGGGCGGATTATGTCGACGTTTAGAGAGTGTAGAGCGTAACGGTAATGCGGGTACGGTGAGGCATATTCGCTGTGTGGCACAGAGAAAGGCGTTTTATCAACGTCTGGGTGCACTGGGCGCGATGTATCGAGCAATTGCCGGCAAATGGGTCCTTGCGAGCCTTGACGGTCCACAAATAGATTACTATGGCTGGTACTCTATGAAATACGCGGATCGGCGCAACAATCCACTTTGTCGGGGGCCTACCGTAGATGAATTTTCAGGCTTCCGGGCTTTGGTCGGTACGTTTAATCGTGGTAGAACGCGTTGTAAAATCGCACGCAAACATTTTCCCCGGATCCACAACTAAACTTCGCGCCGAGTCCGATACCTGTTGAATCCGGTAAATTCGGTGACGCACCGGACGCGGTTAACTGTGCAGTAGTTTGTCTGAGATGCCCAAAGGACGATTTCATTGGTCCGTTCCAGAGTATTCTTAGTCGAAAGGACCGTTTGCTAATTGAGAATCAAGTGTGGTTCCTCCATTAAGCTCACGCGACGGTGAAACGGTCGTTCTGGCCCTTAAGACGAAAGAGTTATCCGCCGAAACCCATTAAAGACGTTTCCCCAACACGCACGGCTTTTAGACCGTCCGGAACCGAATGGAACGCTGCAATTCAGTCACGGTAACGTCAGAGACGATCGATTTATTGTCTTCCACTAGCAGGAATAATGTGATTTGAAATTAAATTTCTTTCCGCGACCCGCTCTGCTGTGCAAACGGCCGTTCAAAATCCAACGACCCCGCACGGAATACACGCGTCAACAAAAATCCGATATTATATTTCCCTTTGGAACACGAAATGTTTCTGGAATTTCATTTAGATTTTAACGCTTACAGTTGTAGATGCGGATTTTATTATTAAAACTCCTAATTGCACTTGCGTCTAATTTCGCAATTTTACGGATTCCTCATTCGAATTCTACACACATTACGTTCGAGTTGGGCGCGTTTCAAATTTCAATCCATAACATACACTTTACAGTTTATACCTACAAATTTATTTTTAATTAGAAGAGAAAACTGAAATATCGCCAAACAAATTATATTTTTACTAAAACTTTTATTATATTTTTTATTTATTTATTAATCATCGATTTTCCTTTTTAATAATCATTTTGAATTTTGAAATAAAACTTTTTCGAGTTATAAAAGAATGTTTTAGGTTATGTTATACCAAATTTAAAAGTTCCCCAGCGAGCAACTTTTTTTATAACAAAATTTTCAAAATTAATTGAGGTTGAAAAAAAAATTGTCGAGTTTTTTGGATTATAAAACAATATTTAAGGTTAGGTTGTAACCAATTTTAAAATTCCCGGGTGAACTTGAATTTGATTTGTATTGAAAATTGTTTTTTAAGTTTTATGAAACGTGTTTTTTATGCTATTTTTTGTAATTCGCGTTTTTATACTTTTTTTTAACAAAAATAAAGTAAATTTTGGCAATGTAGGGAAATAGGTATGTAGCAGTTGGTAACACCGGAAATAGAAACTTTGAATTGACAATTAGAAACTGTCAAAACACAAAATATATTCACCTGAAAAAAATGTTTGATGTACACCTCCCAAAATAAGAGAAATTGCCCAGAGTCAATGTCCTCATCATTGTGGACTTTGTATACGATGCTAATAACGTGTTTAAACATCCATAGACAAAAATTGTCACATTGACAACTAGAAAAATTAATGACCCAATGTCACCAACTTGAACTGGTTCCATAAAATGTTACTAAAATCTCATTACAGCATCGGATGCTGTAAGGAGTCTCATTACAGCACCCGTTTGAGTACTGTTATAACTTCCATTACCGTAGCGAATTACAAAAAATGAATTTATCTTTGTATTGTGGTAGTTTCAGAGACGACAAGTCCATGTTCAGGAGTCTTAATAATGTAGATTAATATTACTTACCTATTTTTGATGATAACTAATAAAAATGATTTAAAAAAATAATTCTGAAAATATTTATTTGAATGGGTTTATTGAACTCAATTTCAGAGAATAAGATATTATCATAGACCAAGTAATGTGAACGTTATGCAAATGGGTAAATTAGTTACGTTAATAGGCCTTGATTGCAGGTGTAGGAATAATCGCTCTTACAAACAACGCAGTTCCGATTTACCGAAGCCATTAGCTCGTCTTTAATCTCGGCAAATAACCAATTAAACTATAAATCAGCGGCGCCAATTATTAAATAGAGTGTCCGGAGTGGGTATACTTCGCGCAACTGGAAGGGTTTTTTGCAGCACGATCCGGCGAAATGGCTTTTGAACGCGGCCGGGCTTCACTTGTATTTCGCGTGAGATTGTAATTTGACTAATGTTCTCTCGTAAACAGGCAAAGTTAGCGGCAAAAGGAGGTTGTGAAACAAAAACACCCTAAAACAGTATACCTTTATTTTTCGTTAATGACCCCCGATAACAAGTTAAATAAATACTCCTTTTTTGAATCTAACCGTGAGAAATGAACGCAAGTAACATATATTACAGATAAGATTATACTGGGATTTTTGTTTCATTATTCTTTTTTTTTTGCTAAGGGCTCAACTAGGACACCAATCATGCTATTTTTTTTCATAAACACTGGCTATATTATGGATATTGTTGCTTGGAGCATGGAGCGAAGCACGAACAGATTATCTTCTTACATTTTTTTGGCACATACCACACCAGCACAGCATGTTTGTACACGTTTTAGTTTTTAGCTTTAAAACACTATTGCCAGTAGCAGGATGACAAGCGGCGTTGGATCGCCGACTCTATTTCCGCTAGATGACGGGGACGACGACGTCACCGCGATGGGGATATCTTCATCAGATTCCGTTAACGACCGTTGGTAGCCGTTGTTGTGGAGTTCTGGTACGCCATCGATGTCCATTGCGGCATGTTGTGGAATTGCCGAGTCGGATTCTTCGGATGAATCCAACTTTGCTTGCATCTCCATTTCTGAAAATTCATAAATAAAAAAATGTAACCAAAAAAAATTATTTAAAATAAGCGGAATTGAGAAGTAGGACAATTTAAAATTGGGAGGGCGGGTGAGTTGGTAATTGTAGTTTGGGGTATAGTAGTATTTTTTAGAGAGGAAAGAAGGGGTGAGGTAGTGCGGGACATGTTGTAGATCGCCGGCGAGCAATAAAACCAGATTGATCTTGAAGAGAAATCGAATAGAACGAGCATAGCGACTGAGCGCTACTTTATCTTGGAGGTTTTCAGGACAGGACGATTTGACTGGGAAAAAAGTGCGGACCGATTGAAATAAATCTGAACGAGCAATAAAAGGAAACAAGTAAGAAAGTAGTCAAACTGTTAGCAGTCATGCCTCCGCTTGTAAAATAACTCGCTTCCGATCGTAGACATCCCTTCGATTTACCTAAAAAATTCAATTCCTTTTTATGGCGTCGGCTCCGCGGCCTGCTCCTCATCAACGTTTCATAGTTCCCGAACTGTAAATCACAACAGACCTTACCGTATAACCGAATGTTCCCTTCGGCGTCTCCTATCGAATTCTTCGAAATGCACTTGTAACCACCCAAATCCGATTTTTCGATCCTGGTCACCACCAAACGCATCTGTACGCTGTATTGCGAACTCTGCATCTCGTTCATAATGTACTTGTCGTTACTGATAATCATATCACCTAAAAAAAGTTTAAAATATCGTCAATATTTATGAAATATTGGACGTCAACATCTTAATAAATCTCAATCTGCGGCATTTATATTGAAATTCCTATCAAATTTGAGGGACCGAAAAGCACCCGGTTTGAGGGAGTCTGGGGCAGTTGCAGTGAAGCGCTAAAAAAACGGCCGCCCGGGCAACTAGAACGGTTTTTAATTAAAACGGCAGGAATGAAAAGTGAAACGGCATTAAATGGCAACGGTAATAGCGCAGCGTTGGTGTTTAAAGCAGTTAATTAGTGGGAATAGCGAATATAAAAAGGAACTGCAAAACTCCCAGAAAGACTGACAGATAGGCGTGCGACTTTCCTTCCCCCAATACAATACAGTAATTGCAGCGGCAATCATCCCCGAAATTATTATTACACAATCTTTGTCAATTTTACCACGTTTTCCTTCCATACACATTTCCGGACTTTTCAGACTCAATTCCAAGGGGTCATACGAAATCGCATCGCCTCATGCACAAATCGACCTGCCGCTTTGGCATTTGAAATTTCCAATGAAGTCACACAGCCCGCTCAAAATGCTCTCTCGACAAGGTCATATTTGCATAATTAAACTCCACCTTTGTTGGCAATCCACACGTCGCACTGGAATGTGTCCCATAAAGACAAACAGGACAAAAACTACATTCATTTCTGTTCGCTATGCCAACAAAATTAATAATACAATTTAATACATATATTTTATTTATATATATTTAATTTAATGAAATACCTTATAGAAAATGAAATATGTCGTAGTATTGAAAACATCTGAATTAATAAGTAAAGCTATGCTGCCGCGTAGTTATTTACTGGGTAAAAATGGCCATAACTTAGTAAATAAAAACGTTACGTCGAAAGTTTTGGAGTTTATCGTTACAGGAACGACGAAAGGAGCGCGCTTCGGACCGGAATTTTCGATAAAATAGCTGTACATTCGAGAAGTAGAGGGGGAATAATTTTAATTTGACATTTTTCAAATGCGTGCTTACCGCTTTCTTTCGTCCAATAGTTAATAGCCTTAGGAGAAGCTTCCACATGACACTGAAGGGTGACGTCGGTGTTGATTGGAGCCCCAACCAATTGGTTAGGTACTTGTATCAAGGGATGAACTGAAAATCAATTACCACAATTATTAATCGGCTATGATACTAGGCTGGTCGTGTACAGTGTAATTTACGTTTAGGTCTTAGATGCACAGCTCAAAGCGATTTTACGGGAATATTATCATTAGCAGGAGATCTCCTCTCCAGTTCAAAGCATAGCGTTTCAATTACTACCGCACCAGAAGGGCAATTAGATTTATTACTGTGTTTAATTAAACCTTTGCCGGCCGTCATGCTGATTCTACAGAGCGTATTCAAAGATTACATCTACGCCCAGATCGTTTTCAGTACAAACAGGCTTTAATTTCTCCACACTTTTATATTGTACCACGAATTGGCTACCGGTTGTTTAATAAATGAACTCCATGTTATCGTGATCACCATAGCGCACGTAAAACAGGATGTAATTATAAATTTACTCGTTCGGTTATTTATTATGACACGCAAAAACGGACCGGCGACGCGTGCACAATTTATTCGGCATCCGCAAAGTTGACGGCCCGGACCTGCCTAAAAGAAAATTAATAAACAGAGGCCGCCCAGGAAATGATGATCGAATAACGTAACACGCTACCCGGAACGGTTCCCAGTAAATAGGGAAATTGAAATTGTTTTAAAACTTTTCAAACATGAAGTATGCGCCAGGCCCGCTTTGTCTCAAATTACGCGCACACTGCCGAACCCCTATTAAATCTAAGTGTTCCAACCAAACTCTATTCTTACTTCTTAGCTAACAAATTTTAACCTCTCTAAATATATATATATTAAATCTACTTCGTTATTATGATTTACCTATTACGTTTCTTTGTATTTCATCCAGATATCTCAATTAATTCTTGAGATTATTATTATTATTATTATTGCTGCCGGGCTGAGGAGGGCGGCCCCTCTCGTTACCGTGACCTATAAGATCTATTGTAACTTTAGCTCTCCAAAGGTTTAGGGCAAATGTAGGTCCTTAATGAACCTTAGTATTGTCCTGAGGTCTTGTACCTTTATGTCGGTAGGTAACAGGGTAGTTTTACCGAAGACGTTGTGCCTTAGACGTCCTCTGGCGACGCAATTGCACAGTATATGTTCAGCAGTTTCTGACTCGTCGTTGCANACAATCACTAGAACTAACAAAAGACCTAAAACTAGAACCATTCGGGTTTAGCCGTCTTGAAAGACGTTCGGCTAAATCCGAATGTTTCTAGTTCTAGGTCTTGTGTTAGTTCTAGTCACAGTGCTAACTAGCACTAGTTAGCACTAGATATCACTACTTATATATATTCTATATATAATTATTTCTATTGAATTAAAACTAGAACTAACACTAGACCGAGAACTAGAAACATTCAGGTTTAGCCGCACGTCTCTCAAGACGGCTAAACCCGAATGATTCTAATTTTAGGTTTTGTGTTAGTTCCAGTGATAGTATTAGTGTAAAACTAGAACTAACACTAGACCTAGAAGTAGAAGTTTGATACTTTCTAGTTCTAGATCTAGTGTTAGTTCTAGTTTTAATTGTTATGCAGCGCTAGATTGTCATATATTTTTATTGAAGTATAAGTAAAATTAAACAGTAGACGAACAACTAGCATCATTCGGGTTATAGCTTGTTTTGATAAATTGATTATACAGGGTGGTTCAGTTTTTAATCGGGAAACTTTACTAGGACGTAGTACTTGCCAAAATAACACAAGTTTTTTATATAAACATAGGGTCGCAACTCTTTTGTTTTCGAGCTATGAGCTGTCAAAGTTGAGCCAAAAATTTACATTTTATCTTTTATTTCGGGTATGAGTAAACCATAGAATTTGGAATTTTGTATGTATGTACTACTAGTTAATATCTTATTTTCAACCATACCTTAAACTTCCCTAGCGCCCTCTAAGGGGATGAAATTCACAACCCCTTTGATTTTTTTATAACAACTTCTTAACGCCATGGAATATTAACATAAAAAAATATGGGTTGTAAAGCTTATTCATTAGTGGTACTTTTTTGTCTGATTAGTTTTT